CTCGTAACATCGGTCAATAATCGATAGATTTGCAGGATATACGAGCATGAATAGTTTATTTTGAATATTTGTAGCGTTGTGTCTAAGAACTTTAAAGGAATTTCAGTGGAAGAGGGTCAGATTTAGGTTAACGATCAAATGGTAGTTGTAAACCCAATGGGACATGCTTAAAAATAACTACGAATTCGTCTCAAAGAACGTACACGTTTATGCGTAAAACGTTACTGCGTTCTCGACCACGTCCTAAAGAGTGCCATACTTATTCTATGATCACTAGTGCATGTATTTCTTGATTCGATGTACTACGACAATGATGGGTACGTTAGTGTCGCGACCGCTGCCGTATTTGGAGAGAGATCTGGTTCCCATCGTCGGGTGCCTTCCTTACCACTGGAATGTGGACCTGCTTGTTCTACCCAACTCAACTCATATGTGCTTTTGTTAATACCACTTGATATACGTCTTTATGAGACACTAGCTGTTGCTCGCGACTTCACCCCCGAGAAATTAAAAATAATACAAAATATAGTCTATGTTACTCACGGATAAATTAACTTTCTAATGGTTATGAATTTTTTAAATCAGCCTAGTAGTTTTTGCGTGAATCCATTTAAAAATACAAATCTTTCCTGTTTATAATATTAGTATAGATTTCTGACATGTAAATGTGGATATTTGGAAATTTTGATATAAAGGTTTCGTTTTCATATAGTTAAAATATTTATAAAGGTCCTCGGCGTTAGTATTCATGGTGTAAATACGCCCTACTCAGCGTAATGTCGGATTTATTGGGTTAACATCTACGTTAGTTAACTAAGCTTGCAATAAAGAAACGTCTGTAACAAAATTGTGCACATAAAAATATCTCGACCGCTTCTGGCCGGCTTACCTTGGTATACTTCTGTATACAAATATTAATATTAACATCGTGACATGAAAACAGCGACAGTAAAACATACATAATGTAAATAAGGCTAGAGGTATAAAACATAACTCACATTACTTATTCAAGGATTTTTGTGTTACGACTATGAATTCCTATGTGTTATATAAACGTAAATATTTTAGTAGCTGTTTTTAATATTTTACTGCAGAATAATCATAACAATAACACATATAAAAAAAAAAAAATATATATACCGACGAATTGAATACCTCCTTCTTTTGGGAAGTCGGTCAAAAACTAGTGCAATCATGTGAAAATACCAACGAGTGATCGACCAATTAGACCATTGCGAAATGAGGTATTGACAAGACTTGAGTATAAGTTGGTGTTTTGATTTAAAAAAACAGTATTTTACTTAACATAAAATAATAATAAGCCCGTAGAAGTACTGTCTCATAAGCGAATTTTTCAATAGGTATTCTACACAACTAATTCAGAAACCAATCTTTATAAAGTAATTGAGACCGGAGCAGTAATGCGTTATTTGATTACGTAAGAGTAATGCTTACTAAAAGCACATAGTACCTAAGTTGGTTCTATACGAGGTCCGGCGTCAGTCGGCAGCTCCGGCTTACGGTAAAGACCTATCATTACGAGCTATTACCGCCCGCATTATACCATCGTAATAACGTATGCGGTCATACTAATAAATTATACAATCTTTGAAATGTAGACCGTAGTTTTATGTCATTTATCATATGGCTTTTTTTCGATATTTTAAATATGTTTAGAATTGTAACATTGTCCAATAGATAAATAAACTTGACCCAATTTCCCCGCCACGACCCGAGATTGTAATCTGTGCGGTAATGCGGTTTGTATCTGGCACCTGAAATAATGTCAAGTTAATTGATATCAAATATTCAAGATCACTAACATGTCGCTATGTTTACTTAATCCTTACTAAAAATTGCGGTCAAACAGAGTAGAGTTTTAAAAATGTTCAAGATTGACATATCATTGTATGATCTACGAAAACGGTATTATTATTATAAACAAAGCCATGTCAAAGATCGTTGTCGGCACGCGTATAATAGAGTCCGGCTTGTCTGTCGCAATTAGAGAGCAGCTCCTAATTAACTCTGAATGATACACTATACGATTCTAGGAAAAGGAATCTTTTGTATTGTCAACTCTTAGAAGCAAATACTTGTTATTTGCCAAATGATAGTAAATAAGATGTACGTAACTTCAATCAATTAAAAAACAAAATGTTAGAAGGAATTAAGATCAACATGTACCTACAAAATCAATGCGAGTCTATTTGCGTAAACAATTTCTATGTATAGTGATGACGATTACGTGAAGTCATCCTAATTCCTAATGATTGTTGAACATTTATGTCCCAATGGCAGGCCCACGTTGTCAATTGAGGTCTTCGTACACTTAACAAGATCGTGTCGAATGACGTATGCTTATGTAATAGATTTATTACTATAACTACATACGTTAGTTGTAATTATTTACCGTACCGGATTCAATTTTTTGGTAATGTTTTTCCTTCGTTGTTTAAACAGTATAAAACCGGAAAAGGATTCCAAAAAGAAGTGTTAGATGATATGTTATTTGATTGTAAAACACAAGGTTTTTCTCTTATGTTTGTTACATGTAGTTTTTTCAACTGCGTATCTAATTTTGTCGCTGTCAGGTGACCTAAAACCCCAAGCGCCAAGTCCCAAGGTCTTCGTTATTTATTGCCTATTTTCCTTTAAGAATACATGTTACGTTTAATTCCACGTTTGTTTGTCACAAGGTTTGTTGTTAAAAT